TAAAGAAAAGAATAGAGGGAAGGATTAAAGAGAATGGACAGAAAGATCAAAAAGAATAGAGGAAAAGAGAGTAAATACAAGTGTTGACATTTTTAAAATCAGTTATCCAGTATACAAAGAGTAGCACTTTTAAAATCGGTTCTTAAGTAGCCAATTTTAAAAGTGCTACTTTTAAAATCGGCTCTTAAGTAGCCGATTTTAAAAGTAACTTTTAAAATCGGCTACTTAAGAACCGATTTTAAAAGCTACTTTTAACATTGTTTCTTTAAGAACCGATTTTAAAACCCCGATTTTAAAATTAATTTTTGTACTAGTGATGGGATCAATGTACATAAGCCTAAGGGTTCTCACACAAAGTTTTTGAAACTCTCAAGACCTAGGCTAAACTTGTTATGACCTCCACCATCTAGCTCATGTCTATTTCACTCCGACTCAAAGACTCAATGCAATGGTGCATTGCTAATTTCAATTCAAATCCAAGTCCCACTAAACTTCTAATCACATACAAATGAGCTCATTCTCATCATCTCATGGACAAAGTCCCTCCTCTCAATGGCATTCAATCTCATTACAATTATATACTTAAAAAGGATCAAGCAACATAAAATCACAATTTTCAAGCATACTAAGTCTCATATTTTTCATATATTTCACAACAAACATTGATTGTAATTAAACATGAACCAAGACATCAATATGTCAACACAACAACACAATTCATGCATTTAAATATATACACCAAAGATGACAAAGTGTCCAACACTTAGGGTAAAAACTCTCCTACTTAGCCTTAAGGTGACAAACAAGAGGGTGTTCTTTGCAACTCTAGCATTAAGTGTTACAATTAAGTCTAATGGTCAATCCTTGTTTATATCATGACTTTGATACATATATATATATATATATACATATATATATATATATATATATATGTATGTATATAGACATGTCAGTTATTATGTTATTAATCATATAACATAGTAATGTCCTTAAAATAATTTGTTTATTCAAAGACATATCAAATGTGACATTGGTAAGATTCTATTAAGAAAAAGACATTATTTTTTAAAGTATTTCAAGTCAAGTATTATTGTTGAATAGAACGACAATAATACATTGAGACTATTGTGTGAATTGAATAACCACATCTCACAGATCATGGATATTTCAAGTTGGCATACAAGTATAAATATTAGGAATAATATTTATATTAAATAGACCCACCATATGAGAGGTCTTGACAATTGTTATGCAAGTTCCATAAGCGTTTCTCATGACAACTATTGTAAGGTAGTCCTTCGACTTGAAGTCATTATAATTCCTACATATAAGGGTTATAGACCTTAATGTTATAAAATGTTATGTGTAACATGATAATTATAAAGCTAATTATTAGGTCTTCAACGAATCATATTGAGGGGTATGAGTGATTAAAAAGAATTTGTCTCTCTTACATAACAGGAGTCATGCCTTGGACCTATCAATGTAGTAAGACATGAAATATGCGTGACCATGTTCCTAGGAATGGGTCAATATGTAATATTGTATATATATGTGTGTGTTTGAACGTCTACTCAAGTACCAAAAAATTAATGATTAAACTTAAAAGGGAAAGACATCATTATATCTCGTGTTCAATGCAAGCATTAGAACAAATTTAAGGGACAAATTGCTTTATAATAATTTGGATTTTGAAAAGTTGAAATTGAATCACAAGTCTTCCAATAATTAGATGACAATGAAATATTTGGTAAATGTTAATCATTACTTATAATATTATTATTATATTAGATATAATATTTAATATTATTAAGGAGAAACTATAGGATTACACTCATAAAGTAAGTATTTGGAATAAGTAATTAGATAAATATGATATAATTTAATAATTAATTAATTAAATATGATTTAATTAATTGACAAAGATTTAATTAAATTGATTGGTAATTAAGTTTGTAATGTAGAAAGTCAATAAGGAAGTAGACATCTGTTACCTTAGTGGTAAGCACCACACATCTGGCACTAGGAGCCAAAATCAATGATCAGCTCTTTATACTATCTATTACTCCCACGCTTGGTGAACTTACAATTCATAATTTATGACCTTTGAGACCCTTTGAGGTTTCCTAATTCATCCCTAAACATATAACACTCACACGTTGAGTTTTAGCTAGATTAAGTATTAATTAGTATGTTCCTAATCCTTTTCAAAAGCAAACAATTAAATAATTTCATCAATTCAATCAATCACTTTAGGGTTCCTAAAAATCCCTAAACCTCAAGAGTATCAAGAGGAAAACAAATCAACAACACATCACAGATCAAAACTCATCAATCACAGCAGTTATGATAGAGACCAAAAAGAAATCGAAGGTGTTATCATAAAAACTAAAATGAATGATATTTTTTTAATTAAGTGTAGTAGGAACTAAATGATAACATTTTTTTACCATTGTAGACATCAAATGATGAATTAAACCCTAGAACAATTAACCTGGTTAAAAACACAGTTCCAAGAGCCAACCGAAGCAAAAGCGAGGGGCAAGCGCTGAAAAGTAGAGTGGGCATGGAAGTTTGTAGTTTTGCGTTTGGAAATTAGAATTGGGAAAGGCACACGGAAAGTAAAGCGCATATAGTCTTCAATATTTTGTGAAAAATATGAGCATATGCAATTTTTTTTTTCTCATAGAACAGTGAAAGAAGCCAAAGAGTCAGAGACATATATGTCTCCCATGAAGGGTGTGGTTGGGTCCCCACAACCTACCATCTTTGTTACAGAGATATGGAAAGCCATAGTACGTTAAGGTCTGCTTCGTTATTTCACTATTTATCCATCACTTTCAGTGGCCGATTCTTCTTCTTACTTTTTTTTATTTTATAGTTTTTGCTTTTGGGCATGGCCACTTTCCCACCACATTTATTTAACTTGAGAAGTTAATGATAAGAGTATAGAATGAAAAAGAAATCAAGTTAATACATGTCTTTCCGACCAAATGAAAACCAAAGTCCATCTGGGTTATATTTTCTCCACTTATAATTGCAAGAGCATTTTATGTGAGTTATGCTTGTAATAATATAGTTCAAATGGTAGTACTAAAATAAGGTTGTTGTCGTGCGTGGTTGAATGATTCGACACCCCTTTTACTAAGGTTTGTCCCTGTAGTTTTCGTATATGGGTAATTACATCGTTTGAATTATTATTTGAATGAATACATACGAATCTTGAGGGAGGTTCTGGTGGGCTTTTCAGGGAATCACGGCTCATGAGGGAATGAACTGGTATTCGTTTCCTCTTGCTGTCCTTAACGTGCATGTGTGGCAGCTAGAAGTTGGAACGATCAAATTATCATAATAATTAATTTGTAACAAATAAATATTTTTTAAGGGATAAGTTTTATCATAGATTTTTATTATAAATAATTTATGTTGTGATATAAAAATATTTTTAACCACTTTTTTAATATATATATATATATATATTAATAGATAGATAGATATGTAGATATTAAATTTTGTTTAGAAATAAAAATAATAATGATTAATCCAAAGAGATAAGAGCTTGAAAAAATTCCTAAAACTAGTATCGGTTTAAAAAAAAAACTCCTTGAAAATGTTCTTATCAAAGAAAACTTTTTAAAAAAATTTCTGTTCATAATAATTATTTTAATTTGTATATTGAAATATTTGTTTTCTTTAAAACTAAAAATTATGTATCAAGTTGAGAAAATAAAAGTGTATTCATCTTTCATTTATAATTATAAAATATTGTGTAAGTTAACTCGTTTTAGATGAACCATATCCATTAAATACACAAGATTTTTACCATTAATAGGTTTGCCGAAATAATTCAGATTAAAATTAATGAGGGAGATCTTAAAACATGGATTAATTAATACTTCATTCTAAAATTCCTCGTTTGGACATGGTAGATAACTAGGGGGAGTTTCTTGAATTTTTTTTGGTTAATTATTGGACACGAGTTGAAGTCACAGGTGCAGTTAAAAAAATAAAAAATTATAATCATTGATCAGTATCTTCTATTTGGTATATGCATGAGCATATACTATTTTAATTTTAATTGTTAAAGTTTTAATCAATAAATTAATTTTATAATTTCTCTCTAAATTTCACTTATCTACATAGAAATTTAGAGTAAATACAAAATTTATTACAACGAGGGTGTGTGCTTCGCATTGGTGTGGATACAAGAAGCAACAATTAGTTGCTTTTACATTAATTTTTACATGATTTGGGTATAAATGTGGATCATTGATGGGAAAACAAACACGTGCACTACATAGATACATTTTAAACCAATTCGTCTGCATTGATTCTATATTGATTCTAAAAAACCTCAATTATGTGTGGATTATAGTTACAAATAAAGTAGATTATTGCACAATTTTACATTGGTTGTGTAAAAACTTTAAATTATAAAATATAGTTACTTATGTTTTTCTGAATAATGAGTTATGTAAATAAATTAGGAAAAGCATAATAAATTAGTAATTTATCAAAATTTATTAATTTGAACTAGTATTAAAATAAATCCTTTTATTCTTTTCATGTTTTAATAAATTCTGTCAAGTTGGCCCGTCAACTAACCTCAAAGTGGGATGGGTTAGGATTTTTAACTTAACATCACTAGACAAGCTAGCCCTTTATGCCCCTCTAGTAATGAAGCGAGTTATCTCACTTTATCACTCTAGGGTTAAATTTGAATTATAATAACATTGAGTTGGGTTAATTTGCTGTTTTTTTTTTCAAACAACCAACTAAACTTTAATTGGGCTCGTTAGGTTGGATAATTCTAAAAAAAACCATCAATCAGTGATTTTTTCGCTTCATCACAAGTCCTATTATGAATACAATAATGTATAACATCGGAAATTTGACATTTGCAATGTTATGTGATTGTTGAATATGCTGAAAAGGCCAGGAAATTGCAGCCGAAAAAGCCTCCACGTTCTACTATAATGATATTCCAACCAAGAAACATGCAACTTCAAAACTAAATTTGCCATTATCACGAGATGAATAAGCTTTCCTGATGTATATACCAGTTAAACCTCACATGTTCAAAATGGAGGGCAATGCAATATTTTCAATTTGATGGAATTTAAACCACAATCCTTCTATAAATGCCACCATATATGAAACAAAAAGAAAGAAAGAAATAAACAGAATGATGAAAAAATTAACTGCACTACACAAAACTGCACCACTTATCTCACTTCCATCTGAGAGACTGCCTAATGCCTGTATAAATGAGTCCTAAGGACCTCCCAATCAAGCTAACTAAAAAGAATGAGATAGCATCGCTAACTCTATCGATAACTGCTCTAACAAGGGGCATGGTGATGTCAGACAACTCAAGGAAAAGGCTGAAGTAATACCGCCTGCAATACATAAATTAACAGCAATTACATTTATTGTATGAAAATGTGTTTGTTTATAAAGTGAACAAGGATGTAAGAGTGTACCTTGATTTGATTTAAAGTATCATAATCTTACCCCGCTAAAATTTAAGAATAAACATACCCCTAATTGCTCAAATAAAAAGAGCATTGTTTAACTCATAGCAGCAAATATTGATAAGAACTTTGAAAGAACCACGCCACAAACGTTAACTGATTTAGTTGAAAAGTCCAAGGCCTTATAAATTTCATACTAGAATCCTTGTATTTTCAATGTAAAATTCAAGTCTCATATACCTTATAATTAGATTATAACATCCTTGCACACTCTGCAGCTTTAGCATCCACAGAACACTAGCCCCTTTGACTAGTCTTGGACAAACACTACAATATCAGCGTCACCACCCGTGCCGCCCATTTGTAGTTGGGAGACATGGCTGAAGGTTTTAATACCAATTGATAAGAACATTGAGAAGTCCACACTACAAAAACTAGTTGTAGTTGGAAAGTTCAAGACCTCATAAACCATTTCATACTTCCAATTGAGATTCTAAGTCTCATACCTTGTAATTGAATCCTAATATATACCGGCCAGCTGGGTCCGTTTGGTCTATGGACTCGACCATGCTAACCAACGTATTAAATGAACCACATTTTTGTCTTGTTCACGTCCAACCCACAAGCTAACTCACTGGTCCACGTGCCCAATAATAAAAAATTTGAAAATTCATAAAAAAATAATTTAAAAATGATAAAAACTGAAAAATGTCCAGCGTACGATATAAAAAATATATATTCATGGATTAATGAAATAGTAAAATCTAGAAGAAAAACTCATCCAACTCAAACATCAAATAAAGCATTTAAAAAAACAATATCTCTAACATTTTACATCAAAAAATTATGAATATTCAAATGCTAATTAAATACTAGTGATTATATAATTAAAATATAAAATAATAAATGATATTTAAAAGTAAAAATAATAAATAATATATTGAAGGAAAAATTGTACTCACCTCCTATGAGGTCTGATTAAATAACACACATCTCCCTTCTAATTTTCAAAAACTACTCACCTCCCTTAAAATAGAGTCATTAGTTAAAATGAGAAAAAAGAGAAAAAATAAAAGTCAATTCATATTCTATCAATCATATACATATCTAACCTTTGTTGTTATATCTTCTCTATGAAAATTTTCATTGTTCTTCAATTTTGAAAATAATAATTTTTTAGTTGTTCTTTGAAATTGTTTCTTAAAAGTTGTTATATTTTTTAAATCACAACACGCATGATATTTAGAATATAATTTGAGAGTTAAAATTGACTAAGAGATCAAGTCTCATTCAATTATTGACACATTAATAGTTTGTTCTCTTGTATTAGCATATGTATGGTGTTATCATATATAAGGGGTTGTATGTGTCACTTAAATAAATAAGAAAGGTTAGTGTTCACTTAAAGACTAAAAGGGAGGTGTGTGTCATTTAAAAAGACCTCAGGAGAGATCAATGCAAGTTTTCCTATATTGAAAGGTAATTGATCTGCAGGCTGGCCTATTAACTCACAGATCCAACCTGTTTAATCTGTGGGTTAAATAGATCGAGTCAAATAAACTCGCACTTAAATATTGTATAGCATTTTAGCTGATCCTAACCCATTTCGAAAAACAGCAACCCACCACAAAAATATGTTAATATGTTAAACAAGCTCAGAAATTCTCATTAGAAGCCATCTAGTGAACAGAACTGACCATCGGCAGATCTCTTAATTCCATAAATTAAAGGTTTTATTCCACAAACCATGGCTACTATTCTCCTGAACTTTGTGGACATATAAGCAAAATGAAAGGCATGATAGCCTCTTTGGCACGTCCCTATAATCCTAATCCTAATAAGAATAATCTTGCAGCAGATTTTTTTTTATCAGCCATTAGCAAATTTTTATCATGCTTAAAAGAAACATTAATAAAAGGCCTATTGAATTCTTTTCTCTTTAGTCTATGAGCATGTTTGAATTTTATTTTATTTATTAGAGAAAATTTATTTTCATTCAAAAGAAGTTGAGTCTCGCACAACAGTTGAAGTTGCTGCCGTGTCATGTGTGACCAGGAGGTCACAAGTTCAAGTCATGGAATCAACCTCTCACCAATGCACGTAAAGACTGCCCTACAATAGACCCATAACGGATCTCACCCTTCCCTGGACCCTGCCATGGCCACAGGATCGTTATACCACTAGGTTTCCCTTTTTTAATTGTATTTATTCAAAAAGCTCTCATGACGATTTTGATTATAAGCTGTCTTGATACAAAATAAACTCATCCAAACACTATTCTATCTACAGACTGCTCATCTTAGTTTTCTACCTGCATCAAATTCAGACCCTTAATTTTAATTCAACAGCTGCATTCAATATAGTTCTTACAATCAACGGCCATTCAAATCATACAGTTAACTGATTGTTTTGCATGTGCCAATGATGTCTTAATTTTAACTTTGCAAATACGGGTTGCACTCCCAGCTGACGGAAGCTAAAATAGATGTCATTTGCTAGGCAATTAGAAAGTTTAATTTGGACCCAACAGTTGCAAGTAGTGACCCATGTTTGCCAAGTTAAACACAACATATCATTAGATATTTAGCAACGTACCAAACAATCTAAATTACGTAACAGTTGGCAATAAAGACTACATTATGCACATACGGAACTCAACTGGAAAAATTGGACAAGCAGCGACTAAATGAACATAATGAGAAATGTAGTGACAAGACTTGATTAAGCCTTAATAGAAGGGGTGAAGAGAAAACATACCATCCTGTCAGGGCTCTTAATTCCTTGGTCCGCTTTACAGGCATTGAGAAATGGCTAATCTCAATGCAATGTAATTCAAGTGACATTGTTTTTGAATTTTGCTGGGTAAGCCTCTTCCACCAATTTTCCTTTTCAGTCTGAATATTGTCCGTTAGATCAATGGGTTGGCTCTCAAGAATACACAAGTCAAAGCGATCCTCATACATTGACGCAACTGTGTCCATGTTGTGGTAAAGCCACTGGTTCAAAGCCACCTGATAACAAGAATATCACCAAAAAGAGTTTCATAATAAATGAATCACAGAAAACTTGTTAATAAATATCATTTGATCAGACATTAATTTGTTAAAAGCAATGCACTAAATACATTTTGTGTCTAAAGAATTCTTTTAGTAGAACTTTTGTCATTATCTACATATGTACGATCTACACACAATGTATACCATGCAACAAAATTCCTGCTTTCGAAGATGTACACTTCGGTTGGTATGATAAGGATATTAAGAATAAAATAAATTTGTCCATGTGTGGCTAAATGAGCAAATACAAATTTTCCATATAACCTGTCCTCTCCCCATATATAGAATATCAGAGAAACAAAAGTTATGCGAATATAAAAAGAGAACAGGGACAACTCCGGTTTAGTTGATTTTACAAAAACTATTTTTTTCTACTTCCTAACCATATTCTACAAACAACAATAAAGGAAAATTTTATTCCAAGTGAATAATACTTTTTATGGAGGAAAAAAAAAACTGAGGAACCACAGTAGAAGCTTCTCACAATAAATAATATCCACATTCAATTGTTACAACTCAGTGGGCAATTACCAATATGGGCAAACAACAGAAACAAGATCCACGACCTTGAAATTTAAAAACCACACTATTACAGTAGTACCTCATTTCGTAACTTTTGGAGTTCTCTGGTGGATAAAGCACATAATGACATATCCAAGCTATTTGTTTTACTTGACACATCACTATCAACTGAAATGAACTCCAGATATATGCTCGCAACCCCATCTGCTAGAGCTATCACTAAATCTTCCAAAATGGAAATCCCATGCACAGCAAATATACGCGAATCATAATAGCAATCCTCCCTGATATTAGAGAGATGACTGGTGAGTCTCTTAAATCAAAAGATTACTTTAAATTTATGAATAAAGGGAGTAAACATTCAAATTGGTCCTCCACATTTACACATCACCGCAGTAGTCTGCCAAATATTTTTATTCCAACGTAGTCCCTCCCTCAAAGTTAAAAAAAGTCACCATATCCGTCCTTTTGTGTCACCACAATAGTCCACTTAAAGACAAATTTGGTTACGTTTAAATATGAGGGACTAGTTTAGACTATAAATCTTTGAAAGACTAATATGGAAACATGCGTCTAACTTTGGAGGATCAACTTGAGGGTTTGCTCTATAATAAATGAATTTTACAAAAGAAAAACATGACATGGTCACGGACTCATAACATGCTAATAAAATCAAACATGGTTAACTACTCTAATATGGACACTGACCTTCATCCAAAACAAATTTCCCTGTGTAGACAAGGCCAAATTTGTAAATCGGGAATTTAGAAACCATGCAGCGGCCATACATCAGATATTTTGCAGGACAAACATCATTTGCTACACCTTAACATTTTACAGTAGATGGAAGCAGGACATGGATTTAAAATCTTTCTATGTTGGTTATAAACCCATGGTAAGAATAAAACTAAAGAAAAGACCAAACTAATAACAATATCAACAGAGTTCCTCATGCTAACAGTTACAGGTCAGGTTTGCTTGGAAGAAAACTAAGCCACAATTTTTGGGTCCATTTGCAACTCACTTAAACTAGAATTCATGTTACTTAGTTGAAAAGCATTGAACCATTGAACAGATACATGAGAAAAGACGTGTTGATTAGAATTTAAATTTAAAGAAGAAAAGACAACTAAATGCCAAAGGACAATAAGGATGAGCATCAAGCAAGCGCACTAAATCATATGGAGCATCCCTGCTTCATTGCATAAACTGAAATAACATCAAAAATAGAATGCAGAAGAAACCCAAAAAGTGAAGAAAAAAAAAATCACTCTGAATAAAGTAAAAATAAAAATAAAAGCTGATTTTACCTGAGAGAACCAAAAGTAAGATACCAGAGTAATTCTGAATACAGATCTTTCTTGCCAGACCTTGTAATGCTCTGTACAATAGTGCTATCTCCTCTCACCTTTTCAAGTATCATAGAAGCAAGTTCCTAAAAATAATCACAGAAGTAAAATCAATACCTATGAAGCCTAGGTGATTGCCATATCTTGAATGTACTTCATAAAGTAATTTATGAAAAACACATGTAAAAGCACCAACATTTTTTTTCCCAAATTTCTCTGTCAATATATCTTGGTGAAGCATTACAAGCTTATATCACTCAAATACAAGCTAATCCAAGAAATACACCATGTTTTGCTACTAAAGTAGTGCTTCACCCAAACTTTTCAGATATCTATTAAGATGTTTAGGGGTCTGGGACTACATAGAATGTAAAAACAAAATTTTAACTTCTTTTTGATAGAAGTATATATAGGTAGGAAGTTTTTGTGAGAACCACAAAAAAAAAAAAAAAAACTTCCTTACTCCCAAGTTGAAGGGAAAGGGGGGGGGGGAGCCCCTACTTTTTTTTTCAAAAAAAAAAAAAAAAAAACTTCCTTACTCCCAAGTTGAAGGGAAAGGGGGGGGGGGAGCCCCTACTTTTTTTTTCAAAAAAAAAAAAAAAAAAACTTCCTTACTCCCAAGTTGAAGGGAAAGGGGGGGGGGGAGCCCCTACTTTTTTTTTCAAAAAAAAAAAAAAAAAAAACTTCCTTACTCCCAAGTTGAAGTGAAAGTGGGGGGGAGAGCTCCTACTTTTTTTTTCAAAAAAAAAAAGTAAAAAACTAAACAGATGTTTTTAGTACATAAAAAATTCAACAATAATAAAGTTTTATGTTAAAAAAAATATAATAAAGCTTAATTTTTTGGGTTAAATTTATTCTTTTATACTGATTAAACTTAAATTATTTATTTATTTATTTTCCGTATCTTCCACTCATCCAAACAAGAGAAGTTTCTCCACATCTTTCTTTTGTATTCTATCCATCCAAATTCCAAAGAACACATTGTTTTTTTAATTCTATTTTCTTTTACTCTTTCCTCCCTGTTTTACTCTTTATCCAACAAAGCATAAAAGTAAAACTCCTCTAATTAGCTTCCATTAAAGCTCTACTTTTAGGGCTTAATAAGAGAAAGAAAAAAAAAAAACAACTTTTATTTTAAGAACTTAACTACAACTGTAATTGAAAGAAATTGTTGGATCAAACACTAAAAGGAAGCCTACAAAACGTTGGTTGATGGGTCAAACACTACCTAAATGAAAGAAATTGTTTCATCATCCTTTCAAATCTTGTGCCCTCATCGGGTATCATTTCTTACTTGGAATTCTGCTCCTCTAAAGTAAGTGAACCTTCGAGAGATATGTGTCAAATTATAATTGCTGATTGAAAAATTAATGCAATATATTTTAACTTCATGAATTGATATATATATATATATTTGTGCATGAATGTTTTCACAAACTCAATTGTTAATTTTCTAATCAATTATTACAACTATGCACTTTTTCATCTAAAGTACACCCTTGAAGATAAAAGAATTTGTTGGAGATCTCACATCAACTAATTATATAGCCAAAATAGAGTACATAAATGGGAAACAATTTTTACCTTACAAGCTAGTTTGATAGGGTTGAGTTAAGCCTAAAACTATTTTCTTAAGAAGGTATCAAATCCTGTCTTACTAATTGTTTTGGGGGGGGGGGGGATTAAGTCAATTGCTATTCGGCCATTATCAAACCACTTGCAGATGTTTATTCCTGCAAGTTTCATGCTTGAAATATTCAATCCTCAACATAAGGCATGCATGTTGAAGTTCTCATATGAATAATTGATATGGCCAAAGTAGAATAAGTGGAGAAAAATCCTCATCTTACAAGTCAATTTTGTAAGATTGAGTTAGGGGCAAAACCACTTTCTTAACTTAATTTGTTTATGCTTTGTATTTCTATATAACATATCATCCCACACTATTATTCTAGTTTTAGAAATTTTGTCGTACCCATATCCATGAAACCTATATATCAGTACTTTAGTCAAATGCACTAGCAGTATCGGCATGAGTTGAGTATTGAGTGGTACATTTTACTTTCAAGAAATACCTTGTCATCACTTCCCTTTAGAAGGAAAAATTCCTTCTCCAGCCATGCTGCACAGATAGAGTGACAGGACCTCTGAATAATTTCAGAAAACAATCCAAACATATCATCTACACCAACAGCTCTGGAAATGCTTGAGATATTATTAACCTGCAAAACAACATTTTGAAACAACTCATTCCAATTTAATCTTATTCAGACATGAAAACCTGCTCAGTAAAAAATAGTAGGATAGCTAAGATATAATTAGCCGGTAAACCAAACAACAAAAACATATCCTGCTAGGTTATTAGCCAGAAAACACATTTAAAAATTTATTAGAACAGAACCGATGCTGATTCCAATTTGTCAAAATTCTAGATTATACCAATATAACATAACACATGCATATGACACTATTGAAAGGAGAAAATAAAGACATTTCCTGCCTCTTCCTCAACTTGTTGAAAAGCAGCCCAGATCAACCTTAACTTTGGACCCCTGGCAACAGCACTTAAACTCAAGGGTCTCTTTGCAGATTGAAGGATGATGTCTCCAGAATAAGCCTTTTGCTCTAAAGAATTTAGAGAATTTAAAAGTTTTCCTCTCACCACATTTAAAACATATTTTGACTCAAATCCATAATTTTGCTTCACTGAACTGCAAAAAAGAAAAAAGTTCTCAAGTAATTAGACAAATAAATTAGTCCTTTATCAAAATACCACAAAATATTCATCCATTTAAAATGATAACAACAATTCAACCTTCAATATCTTGGTGTGCTTACCCTTACCTACCAGAAATGTCCGAGCTTTCAGCAAACACATTTTTATCAGAATTAGTCTTTTGATAACTAGCAAAAGATTTCTCGACAGGAATTACTCCAGCCATATAAGTGAGAAATATACTGCCCATCAAAAGCACCTGGTCAACAACTGGAACCAAACCAGAGGATGTTGCACCATCAAAGTCAACCAAAGCCCCTAAACCAATGCACTTTATTGGAAGTTGCTGACGACGAGGAGTAAAATTCAAATCTATGCCCCCAAATAGACTCAGTTCAAAAGTTTTCCTTGTAGAGAAGTGAACAAATTTACATCCATTTCTGGAATACTTTCTGAACAAATAAATATTGAAAGGTCAGACTTCCAAATTCATAATAGCAGGCATGAAAAGCTGTCAAAGATCACTGCTGCTTATTAAAATCAGGAAACTGATACATCCAACCAATCAACAATACATATAATTAAAACAGGGTAAATTAGCAGAACCGTCAATGTGATATGTATATAGAATATTACTGAATGCAACAAACCATGCAAAGTAATGAAATCCCCGTTTCTACAGATAACACTGTGAGTTATTATCCATAATGTAGAAGGGGAATTCCAATTTTAGGTATTTACTTTTAAATGTCTAAACATGCCCTAGTCGAGTGTTACTGTTACCAACAAATAACAGCGTAATTTCACAAAACTTAAACCATAACAAAAGTTAGTTTCAACTGCCACCAACCAGTGCAGTTTTATCAAGTTTTTTTTTGTCTACCAAAGAAACACTTTGCACATTGTTTTATCCATTTTTTCCAATTAATTTACATTGTTTTATTAAATGATTAACGATAAATATTCTCGTAACCTTCAAAATGTTGAACTTTCTCTTTTGTATGTGCCTCTTCTAGTTTAATATGTCCCCATAACATAAAACTCCCACAGTCTATTATCCACCCTAGTCCACTCCACATACAAGGAATTGAAAATTTTAGCTATATTCCATTATAGCAAGTACGAAAATAATACACAAAAGGTTCCATCTTTCATTTTCAACCATTTTTACTATTTCATAAACAATCAGTATTTACTATATGCCAATTCTCCAGAATTATCATTTCCATGCTTCCTTCAAGTGCGGAGGAAGGAAATAGAGGATTCAAAGCTAGTCACACATGTAAGGAAGAAGAAACAAATGCCAAGTAGAAAAATAATGAATAAATAATAATATAATTAAGAGGAATGAAACCTTTGAACAGTCTTGAGATTTGTAGTCTGACCCAAGAAGGGTCTCTCTCTAACAGGCCTTCTCTGTGTATTCAACTTAACACAGAATGCGGAAGCCACACATTCTGCCATTGATAAAAATGTTCTTGCTCCAAACTCAACACATGGTGCTGCTCTTACATGCGCATTTGATCAACCTACTACAGAAAACATCAAATGTTTATCAAAAATAAAATAAAATAAAATAAAATAAAAAAACCTAAAATTACAAGCATAAGCTCAAGAAAAATTCAATACAACTAAAATAATAAACAAGGATGAACCACCCCTAATAGGCACACTAGTGAATTTAACAGTGAGAAAGAAAGGAAAGGGAATCATATACATTCTTAACACTATTCAAGGTCTCCTAATGTGGAACAATCAATCACCCACAACTACGCAAGTAAAGTTCCACTTAATAATGTGTAATCGACTAACGGAAACATAAATGGACAAAAACAAAAGAGGAATTCGGAGAAAAACGAAATTGAGGTTCATACCAATGGTGAGAGTTGGAAGAGAAAAGGGAAACGTGAAGAGAATGAAGGAGTGTGAAGGGATTAGTGTAGTCAAAGTTTGGCGGGGAAAGGGTGCAAGAGGTTTAGAAATTGATGAGATGAGGATTGGATTTGTGCGTACCTGATTCGTTTCTTCGTGGCGTGTAACTATTTTCGGTGTACAGTCAAATCGTTGCTAAGTAACGGCCCGATTAGGGCTTTAACCTTCAGCAACGTTAGATACCGATTTCTTTCCTTGCTTGTAACAAGGTGTTAAAATAATATTAGGTTACTACAATTTTTTTTTTTTTTTTTTCGTCCTTAGAGTATCCACCGCCGATAGTAGTGACTAACCTCCTCGCTGCGTTGGAGGCACCTCAAAGGGTAGATTTAACGCGGCTGCATACACAAGGCAGGATTCGAACCTCTGACCTTGCTTAAGCGTGAATCAACCCCTACCGCTGAACCACTTGAGGTTAATATAAATTAATTTTTAATTATCTTTCTAATCTTTCTTATTTTTATAAAAAATAAAATAAAATCCTATACTTTAAATATGTACTGTATTTCATTTTGTATAATAGATTATTTTTGTTTCCCTTTGTGAAACTTAATTTAATAATTAACTTAAATCACATTTTACCCAGAAAAGGTTTTGATGTATAAGAATGCAAGTTTTATAATTTCAATAAATAATTCATGTGATGACATATTAACAGATGATGTATGTCAAATTTGATAAAGTCTTCAACTATAGACACATATGAGATCTATATGTTAAATGAGGGATCAAATGCTTAAAATGCAAGTAAATGATGAATAGGGTAGAAGTGTTATGTTTCAGATGAAGGTTATAATATTATGAAAACACAAACTAGATTTTTTATATAATGAAAAATTAAAACTGTATCTTGTTACAAGGGACACTTGAATCTTGCCCGCTCAATTTAACATACAACGCACTTACCATGAAGCTAAATAGTCACATGTAATTTTACATATGTAATTTTTTAACAATTAATAAAAATTAGACTTAAATACATTAAGCGAGTTCTTGGTCTCTATAAAAAAAATTTATTTACTTTTTATCCTTCTAAAATTTATAAATATTAATTTTTATCCTTATAAAATATTTTTAGTTATTATAAAATAAGTAAATTTTAGTTTTTATCTTTGTAAAATATTTTTTTATTTTCATCTCTCTAAAATTACTATTTTTGATCTCTAACAATAATTTTAAGATATATAAATAACATTTATTTTAAGAACCTACATATACTTGTATGTTATATGTTACAAATATATTGTACATATATAGTTTTATTTCTATTTTTTTATCTTAAATTATGTTAATTATATTATTTTATTTTATTTAATATAAATCATTTTTACCAATTTAATAATTGACTACCATTAAATCACTACCATACCAATTTAATGAGATGTACGATTTCATAAATTTGATTCTAGATAGAGTTTGGGGTTAGAGCTGTTCATTGGATCAAATCAATTTAATAAATCTGATAATTTAAATCAATTAAATTAGTTTGAATCTTTTTTCAAGTCCAATCTAAAACAAATCATTGATTAATTTGGATATCATATTTACATATTTAAAATTCAAATCAATTAATTTATATATTATTTTTTAATTAGGTAACAATTAATATTTATATATAGTTTTGATTATTTTAAAGACGCTTTTGTATTATAATATATAATTTTTTCATTATTTTTCTCAAATACATAAAAAAAATTAAAAAAAAATATATATTGCAATATATATTAAGTGTCATCTTCATATAAGATAATACATTTAAAAATTTTAAGTAGATTAAGAAAAGAAACTGGAAGAAATTATATTGAAAATCTATCAATTTAATTAATTTTTGACAATATATCAATTTAGTTAATGTTAGAAAACCTATTTACTTTAAGAAAAAAAGATATTTATTTTAATTTTTCCTAAAAAAATCATTGCATATTCAATGACCCAAAGCGAACCAATTGATGAATATCTGATTGGTTCAGTTCAGAATTAAAAAAAAAAAAAAAAAAAAAAGTTATAAAATTTAAATCATTTAAATTTAATTAAATTTTGACTCAAACTTGAATTAATCCGAGGAAAGAAGTGCACCCTTAGTCAGAGTCAGGTGCAAGAGGGATATTTATAGTTTATTTGTTTTACCCGTTGAAACGGAAGCTTTCACAACATTATACATCTTTTATTTAGAAATACGTGTACCACACTGGTGTGCTAATAGGCAATAGCATCGCATTGAATGTTGTTTCACTTGTAAATTTATACACGAGAAGTTCATATTTACATTGATGTACTCTTTTAATTGCTACACAGTTCCTTTGTAAGAACTCTAATTAACATTCCATGTCCTAGAAATTTCGAAGTGATATCCGGTGGTTATGAAAGCTAGCTAGTACTTGAGTTAGTTACTTAATTCAGGTATATATTATTGTTTAAAGAGGAGATATTCGAAACAAGAAGTAGCAGGAAATTGAGAAACCTAGGTTAGTGTTGGTAGAGGATGTGCATGACAGTTAGGTTGACAATGACAGGTGTAACAGTCTAGAGTAAAGGGTTATCACAGTTAGATTATATTGAGGTATAGTTCTAATATAAATAACAAGGGTTAAAGTTGCAAGTGCAAGTTAGTTAACTACGGAAGAATAAAGAAAAGTGAGAGAGAAAATTAAGAAGAAGAAGAAAAATGGATTCATCAGGATCAAGATCAAGATGTAGTGATAAGGAGAAAGAAGAAGATGAGAGGGAGATGTTGGAAATGGTGGAACAAAGGAGAGGCTTTGTCCAAGCATGGTCATTGAGACCACTCAACCAGCCCTCACTGCGCCACCGCTTGGCCATGGCCCACCACGTTGAACAACAAAAAATCGCTCAATACGAACGACAAAAAATGGCTCAACTCGAACTAAGGTACGTGCCTTTCATTGGAATCAAAAAATATGTATATAACTCCAAATTTGTTTTTATGTTGTATAAATAAATTTCCTATGATTCATATATAGGGCACGAGCCACTCGCGACCAAGGTGATAAAGACCCTCATCCCATGTCGCAAGAAATGGTGAAAGATGGCACAACAAATGCTGAAGAACCTAGTAGCAATGCCCCTCATCAAGAGACCACAAGAAATGCAAAAGAAGAAGAAGAAGATGATGATTATGATGGTGATGGTGATAATGATGATGACGCACAACAGAAGAATAAGAACCCACCAAATGAATAAGTCCCTTTTTGTTTCGCTACCCTACCTCACTGCTTTCAGTTCAATTGTGTTGTCTGTACATAAATAAATCATTCCTTATGATTGTTTGGCTAAAACTAGTACTCGTATAAGGATTACCTGCTATGGTTTCTTTGTGTGACTGATATATACAATATACAATGATATGATTAGAGCTTTTGATAACTGCATAATCCCTATGTGAATCGCCCATATGAAGCGTGTGTTACAGAATGCTAAATGTTGACTATTGGGCAATTGACTATGTGTTGATACAAATAGTTTACTTCAATCTTTTGGTTTGAAATTGTTGAACTCCTAATAAAGAGGCTTTGTTGAGAAAAAATATTTGTGTTGTATGTTTGCCTAAGAGGTAAGATAGAAAATAATATTTGCATTGTTTCCTTGGAGAAATAAGGTAAAAAGATTAGTCGACTCTGATCTCGGAAAAACTTGAAACAAAATAGTTAGGTAAAGAAATAGTTTTGAAGATTGAAATCAAATTTTACTTACATATATATGATTCAAGTGAACGATATATACTTGTACGTCAATTTTGTATAATTTATTTTACAAATTAGCCCGAAAGAAATAAACAGCGAAAAGGACATGCAAGACTATATATAATTAATACAAGATGAATGGTATAATAAAAGAAGAAGAAAAAAAACTAGTAGATAGGAATTCACTTATTTGATTAAATTTTTTTAATAGCAAAGTCAAAGAGAAGAAAAGGTGCGAATTAAGGTGCTTACGTACGTACGTTACGTGTTTCTACAATAAGATATTAGAATTTGGCTGTTCCATTGGGGTCTTCCAGAATGCAAAGTCTTGTTCCTCCTCTCGTCTCTGACCACGTCCCTTCCTAGTTTTCAAAACATTGAAAAATCGAAACGCGCTTTTGCTTCATTCTTCACCCTTATTAAAAGTAACCCTTTTGAATCATTTCTCCTTAAAATTCAAGAAACCAAACCAGACCAAACGAAAGCATCGTTTGAGGCATATGGGGCAGCAATCGCTGATATACAGCTTTGTGGCGCGTGGCACGGTTGTCGTGGCGGAGCACACGGACTTCACCGGAAACTTCGTGGACGTAGCTTTTCAGTGCCTGCAGAGGCTTCCAGCTTCCAACAACAAATTCACCTACAACACCGATACCCACACCTTCAACTACCTCACCCATGATGGATTCAGTAATAATCTCTCTCTCTCTCTCTCTCTCTTTCTCACTACAATACCCTTTTCTTCATCTCCATGCTTCCTTTATGTCTTAGTAGCCGCATATCATGGATTGCATATGGTCTTATGGATCCTTAGGATGTCTTTGCTGTTGGTTTCACAATATTGAAATCTATGTCTTTATTTTTTAGTATATAAAATTTGAAAATAATAACACTACCAATTTGAAGTAAAAATGAATTTAATCTTAGTAATTAGAAGATGGGTGGTTTGAGAGTACAATGTCTTTTAAAATATATATATATATAT